GTTGCTTTGGTCCCTGGTTTAAAACGGGAATTAGTCTCTTCTTGTGTGTCTCTGGGATTTCCTTCTATTAGGGCTGAGTCTTATTTGGTTTGGGTCCTTTTCGACCCCAAATGGTAGAGTCTCATTTTGGTCTGGGGGCTGCCAGGATGGGAGTAAGGAAAAGGCAGACAGGCTCTGTACCCAGAGCAAGATCAGAGACACCCTACCCTCACTGGGGAGCCTCCAATGATGCTCCACAAGGCTCAGGGTGGGAAGTCACATTTACCAAGAGAGTTCCTCCTGGCAGACACATTCCTGGCTCGAAAGGAACTGCCCGTGTGTTATGAGAGACACACAAGACTTCCTTTTTCTGGGCCGGGCGCGGTGGCTCACGCCTGTAATCCTAGCTCTGTGGGAGGCCGAGGTGGGCAGATTGTTTGAGCTCAGGAGTTCAAAACCAGCCTGAGCAAGAGCGAGACCCCATCTCTACTAAAATTAGAAAGAAATTAATTGGACAACTAAAAATATATAGAAAAAGTTAGCCGGGCATGGTGGCACATGCCTGTAGTCCCAGCTACTCGGGAGGCTGAGGCAGGAGAATCGCTTGAGCCCAGGAGTTTGAGGTTGCTGTGAGCTAGGATGACGCCACAGCACTCTAGCCCGGGCAACACAGTGAGACTCTGTCTCAAAAAAAAAAAAAAAAAGACTTCCTTTTTCTGGTGTGGAGGATGCAGAGAGAGGGTGGGTCACAGAAGGGTGGAACCAAGGGAGGGAGGGGAGGCACAGGCATTGCCTGGGGGCTGACACACCGGGCCCTGCTTCCGCTTCCTCCCCTGGTGTCATTTTCAGTCCTGACACCACCCGCTGAGCAGATGCTGTTATCCCAGCTGAACAGATGAGGAAGCCAAGCGTGGAGGGATTTAAGTGGCTTTCATTAATTGATCCAAGGCATATTTTTAGGACACCCACTGTGTGCTAGGCTCTGTCCCAGTGCCAGGGATACATAGGTGACCATACATGGCCCCTGACCCCATGGAGCTGAGATTCTGTGGACTTCTTCACGCCAGACAGTTGGTGAGAGGCTAAGCAAGGTTTCCAGCGCTCTGGACACCACCTACACATGCACACACACACACAAATGCACATACACACATTCTCTCTCTCAATCTAATGCCAATTCAGTTAGAATTGTAGAGATGGGTGTCATTCTGGGAAGAGCAAGAAACATCATGCTGAAGGGTCTACTTCTTAGAAGCCAAGTCTGGAGGACAGAGGAGGGGCCACGTCCCACAGCCTCCTGCAGAGCCCTTCGGGTTCCTGGGAGAGGAGGAGAAGGCTTCCCTTGGCCTAAGGAGTGAAGCCCTTGAGCACTTTCCCTTGTTGGAGGCGGCACCTGCCTGGCCCTGCCCTGGCTGCCAGAGCCCTGGACTTGCTCGGGTCTTACAGACATCAGCAGCAGTGATTCTGCACTGCACGCCGAACTCCAGCAGGGACCGCAGCTGAGAACACTGGTGGCTGCAGAGCTCTGGCTGGCACCCCTAGAACAGTGGTGGAATAGCCCCCACAGCTCTGCTGGCCCTCTGGACACCAGCACAAGACCCCTGGTGGTTAGAGTGGCTGATGTGTTGATGCCGGCAAAGAGGGCATCCCTTCCAAGGGAGGCTGTGTCCCTGCCACTCACCTCCTCTGTATGCCTGCTGCATGCCGGTCACCACATCAGGCACCACAGGGAGTGCAAAGGCAGTCAGATGCAGCCTTTGCCCTTGAAACCTCTACAGTCAGCTGCACAGTGGAGAAAGGGCTTTGTGACAAATCACAGTAAGCACAGTCAGTGGTGACGCAGCCCTAAGTCTCACAATGCACAGATCTGACAGGGAGAACAGCACGATTGCTGTTCAGCCTTCAGGGTCAGACAGGTTCAAATTACATGTGTGACCTTAGCCTCTGCACCTCATGTTCATAGCATCTATTATTATTAACACACTTAACAAACATTTATCCAGACCACAAACAGGGCCTGCCCAATGAGTAGGTATTCAGTAAGAGCTTATCACATGTATATTCTTAAGGGAGTGCCTCTGTGTGGACTTTGCTCCCCGCATCAGAGCACTTGTTACGTAGAGAAACCTTCTAACACACCTGCTGCCTCCACCTCCCTGGCCGGTGAGCTTCTGAAAGACAAGGGTCGTGTTTGAGTTTTTCTGCATCCCCCATGCTTAAGACAGTGCAGGTGCACACGAGGCACTCAGCACAGGGAGGGCACACAGGGGCAGACAGCGGCTGGAGGGAAGGCTAGAGGGAGAAAGGGCTGCATGGACGAGTGGACCAGCATGGACAAAGAGGGCTGAGTGGCTGCGTGGGTGGGCAAGTGAGTGGATGGCTGGAATCGAGATGAGATGGTGGTAGCTACGTAGTAGAGGGTGGCTGGATCTGTGGGTGGGTGGAGGGTAGGTGGATGGATGGATAGACGGATGTGTGGATGGATAGTTAAAGGAGTGGGCGGGTGGATGGATGAGTAAAAGGTGGATGAATAAGTGTATGGAAATGGATGAATGGGTGGCTGGAAGGATGCATGCCTGCATAGTGCTCAGATATAACCGAGTTATAAGGTGGGCTGTGGCAAGAGGACTGGCAGGCCGGTTCTGCATCCAGAAAGAAAATCGTACTTTCACTGGGATGCCGCCCACCCAGATTCCCCCAGGGATCCAGGAAGTAGTTAGTCAGCCTTTCCCGGCAGGTTCCTCCTGGCAGATGCATTCCAGGGTTTAAAAGGAACTGCCTGTGTGATAGGCAAGACACACTAAACTCTCCTCTGATTGGCCCGAATTTATCTATTGTTTCCTGACACCCTAAAATAGCACGCTCAAAATTAGCCATAAAAGTAGCCTCGTGTTCATTCTTGATTTTTCAAACCTGCAAGCTGAGTTATCCCTTATGTTCCAACGTTCATATAAGTTATCTCCTGTGATCCTTGCAACTTGGAGGGGTAGGCATCACGTGCCCATTTTACAGATCGGGAAACTGAGGCTCAGAGCTATTAAGGAAGCAAGCCACCAATAATACAAAGTGCCAGTGTCCTACCCAAGATCCTAGTTCTCAAGAGAATTTGTTGTATGTTTTGCGGACTAGTAAACTTTGGTTCTAAAAAGCCCTCTGTTTCAGCCTGGTTAAATAGTGCCCACCTGGTGGAGCTGGCAGTGTTTGCAGAGGAAACTTGCTCAATCTTAGCAGAATACCCCCTCGTCAGAGGGCGGGGCTCTTTTGAGCCCCGATTGCTCGAACAGCCAGAATGTGTCTGCCCAGCCTGTCCTCCACAGCTGGCCCTGAACTCCAGGGACTGGGATTTCATGTCCCAGAGAGCTCTTTGGTGGGAGCCACTTAATTGTTTTTGCACTCGGAGATTATTCCAAGTGTGGTGACCCGCCTCCGGCCTCCTGGCTTTTCAGGAGTGTGGTTGATTTATTTTTGCCAGCAGACTTGGCTTTGGGGCCTTCTCTGGTGTGGAGGGTGGCTGTGCTCTTGGAGCTCCAAGTAGCTCCGGGGGCTTGCTGCGTGGCTGCCAAGAGTCACGGCTGATGTATGGCCACGCACTCAGGGCTTTGCTGCCCAGCGACGGCCGTTGTCTGGGCAACAGGAGAGCCCACAGTGATGGGCATGCGTCCGCCTATGGCTCCGTGCCCCCATCTCTCCATCACACGCTCCTCAAGCAGCCTCAGTGCTAATTTACCTCTGTGAGTGGAGACAGCAGGGTTTTTTAGCTTCACATTGAAAATCGCTGTGTCTCCTGGAAGAGGGAGAAACAAGTAGCCATTGAGAGTGACGAGATGTCAGTGTGTTTGGAACAGAACTGCTCAGTCTTCCATTTTGGCCTTATCTTGTCAAGGTCCTGTAGCCCAATCCCAAATTTCCAAGCTCTCTGGCCTGGTATCAGTCTTATCCTTGGTGGTGCAGGAGGCAGGGTGCTCCAAAAGACTGCCAGGCCCAAGCCTGCCACAGGCTGCAGGTAAGAAGCCCACCCTCAGCGTATCCTTACCGAGGCCTTGTCTTTGTGGCAAGCTGGGGAAGGAGATGGGTTTTCGTTTAATTGTTCCGTGCATGGGGTCAGTGTTTCAGTGCGGGATACACAAAGTGGGTCTTTACGTACTAGATTAGATGCTGAGAAGTGTGATGTATTTGCTCGTTCTTGGTTAGAAATAACGTCAGCCCGACTGGGCGTCAACCCCCAAGAAGGCAAATGGAGAATACAGACACCTCATTGCTCAGCTCCAGATCTTGCTCTCAGTAAAGGAACTGCTGCAGAATGAATTTTTGCTGCTCTATTGCATTGCGTTCATTTCTGGCTGTATTTTGTGATATCTTCACTGTTCCCCATGGACTTTTTCCAGGGGCAGAGCTCCCTCACCACCTTGTGTTTTGTGAGCAGCAAGTAGTGAGATGAGGCAGACAGGATGGACGTTGGACTCGGACACCTGGGTCACGTCAGCCTCTGCCACCCTCTAGCCCATGGCCTTGGGTGAGGCAAGCCATGTCCCTGAGCCTCAGTCTCCCGATCTGTGAAGTGGTGGGAAGCCCCTTCCTGCAGCGTTGGGTGGGGCTAGGCAGTGATGTTCGCAGAGCAATGGCCCACGTCCAACATGCAGGGTCTCCATGGCTGAGGCCTTATGCTGCTTTAAAGTTCAACTTGGAAGGTTTTTAGAATCTGTTCTTCAGAAGGCCAAGTGGCTGTATCTAAAAATGCGACTGTACTTCTCTGTGTGGCTGTTTGGCTGGAATTGAAATTAGTCATCGCTTCACACACCTGCTGTTGATGCTAAGAGCTGTTCACACTCAAGGGCACACGCCCACTCCACTGGGAGCCTTCTCCAGCCAGCCTGTTCCTGGGCCCTTGAAAGGAACTCGCACTGTTGACCTTTTCTGTGATTGTTTTCCATTTTCTATCATAACTGTAAAGTGGGAAACCATGACTTGGAAACCCAAAATAAATAATTTGTTGCCTTTACAAATTGATGTTTCCCTTCCAGCCGCGCGGCGATCAGATGGGGAGGATGGAAGTTTTGACCAGGATAACAGGAAGGTAATGCAGGGAACGTATGTCATTTAAAACAGCCTTGTTCAGAAAGAGATGAGGTTTTGTAAGGGCTCCTCCAGTCGAAACTTCAGGATCCTTCTCTTACGTTCTGCTCCTCGGAGGCCAGTTTCCTCCTGACACTTAGGGTGTGCCCTTCTACCGAAGCCCTGGTCATGGCCTGTGTGGCCTGGTTATGGTTCTGTAACTGAGGACATGTGTACGATGAACGGGAAATAAATCAAAGTGCATCCTCAGGGAAGTTGGGACGATTGTTCTAGAACAGGTTCGGCAAAGAGTATTTCCAGCTTTGCGGGCCACACCCTGTCCAGCGCGGCTGCTGAGCTCTGTGAAAGCCACTGGAGACGACACATGCATGCATGGGTGTGGCCATGTCCCAGTCCCGTTGTAACGGCAAGAGCAGGCTGTGGGAAGGATTGGCCCGTGGGCTGAGTTCACCCTCCCTAGCTCCCTGCACCTGTCGTCAGGGAAGGCGGGTTGTGTGTGGAGAGCGCCTGAGGCTGGACTGGGCGGCCTCACCTGGTCTCCACCTGTGAAGCCATGTGAACCCCTGACCTCCCCAAGCCTCAGCTGCCTCATCTGTAAAGTGGGGCAACACTGTTTCCCCCTAAGGCTTCATGTGCCTCTGGAGCATCTGGATAGGTCACGTTAAATGGTGGGCTTTTTATCAAAAGCTGGGTTTTCACATATTGAGTTTTCTCATGGTGGGGTCAGTTTTTAGGTTAGAAGTAAAGAAGCCACTAAAGGTTCTGGTGAGATGTTTCTGCCATTGCAGATGACCTTGAAACTCACGTGAGTTTTTTTTTTTTTAGCAGAAGACCAGCTGGCTGATTCTCAAGGGGGACACAGACACGAGGACCAACTCTCCAGACCTGGACAGCCAGTCCTTGTCCCACAGCAGCGGGACTGACAGAGATGCTCTCCAAAGAGTGCAAGGGGACAACTCTCACTCACGTGAGTGGTTCTTTTGAGCAGGAGCGATGATGTGCACAAAAGGCCTCCCAGCAAAGGGCCCCACAACTGAGCGAGTCCCCCAGACCTGACTAAGCCTTGCACGTTAAACCACAAGAGCAAGCCTGCGGACACAGGGCAGCCGGTGGGAGAGCAGGGCCTCGACCACGTGCTGATTTCCTGTGACTGCCCTCAGTTAGCCAGTGTGGCCACACCTCCGTGTCTCCCGGTAACTTTGTCTCCAGAGCTGGGGAGAAAGTGGGGAGCCAGGGCGGGCTGGAAAAAAGTCTTCCTGGGCTGCCAGGTGGAGGTTCAGAGCCTATTTCCCTCCAGAGCAGACGTGGGCGTGGTCTGGGTGGCGAGTCCAGACTCGGAGGCCACGGCACAGCCTTGTCCACATCTCCTGTGAGGTCCTGAGCAAGGTCCGGGACAGTCGGAGACATTGCGGCCTCAGACTTCACAGGCAGACAAAGGTGCCGTTGCCTGACTATAGGGGTGTCGTGAAGACTGAATCGGGAGTGATTTTCAAATGTAGAGAAAACTCCAGAAAATGTCGTTTGCTTCAAGATGCCATAAATCATAGGTGAACACCAACAGCAAGCTTTAGTCAAACCCACTCAGTGTCTCTGGGAAGTGGCCTCTGGCATAAGGCTAAGCTGGGCCGGGCAGTTTCCTATGGGCAGGGCTTGGGCTTAGCTTGGAAGCTGAGACCAGGAGGGGATGGACTTGGGTGGGAGGGAGCAGAGGAGAGATCCTGGCTTTGCAGTGAGACAGACCCAAGTTCAAACCAAGCTCAGCACTGACCGGCCCTGCGATGGGGGCTAGTTCCGCCTGGCTCCCTGGCGGGTCATTAAGAGACGGAACTTGGTACGCGGATAGCACTCTGCCCGGCCCATGGTGGGTGCTCAGTAAACAGACTGCCATCTCCATCCTCATCCTCATGACTAGGCACTGTCAACCGCCTCACCAGTGAAAGGTGAAAGTGTCTCAGTGTGGGAGGACAGAGTGAAGACACAGAACCTTGGAAATTGTGATGTGTTGGAGAGTAAGTTTAACAAAGAAAGGTGTATTGTTTTGTGTATGATCTTTATAAGCAGGTGTCTGTACGCCCCTCATGCCTCCGCCCCTGCCTGGGGTGCAGCTCTCTAAATATTGGGATCACAGAGCCGGTGCACAAGGCTGACGTCAGCCTGGGGAGGCCACATCAAAAAAAAAGTCCCCAGAGGGAGAGGGACACATCCGCGATGGCCCCGTGTGTCCCACCCACAGGGGCCTGGGAGGTCTGCAGCTGGGACAGGCAGCCGCACGCTGTCCTCCCTGCCCTCTCTGTGCCCGCAGGCACCTGCTGCCCCACTGCCCCTTGCTGGAGCAGGGCTTGCCTGTGGGCCAGGGACCCTCGGCCTGACCATGGCCTCTCGTTTTGCACCCACTTGTCCCTGATGGCACTTGTGCTTGCAGTGGGAGAAGCTCCTCTTGATCCAGCTCGGTAGCTTCCTCGGCAGCCCACCCCTTGGTCAGTGTCCTGGTATCGAGGTGTGAACCCCAGGAACCAAGAAAGGGATGTTTGGGGATCTCAAGGTGGCATTTTCCAGCTTTTAGTCCTCCCGTGCTGGGTGGCGGGCAGGCCTCGCTGTGAGTCTGGCGCCATGCGAATGACCTCCCCAGACTCCCTCGGGGAGGCCGGCTCCTGGCCCAGGGAGGCCCACTGACCTGCGTGGCTCAGGGCTGAGGGAGGAGGGGCGCTGCGTGGGAGAAGCCAGGCTGGAGACTGCCGCCCTGTGGGCTTGCCCTCTGCCACTGCTGCCATATGACCTCCACCCCCTCATCTCAAAGTGCCAGAGTGAGGGTGCCCTGGGGCTGCCCCAGGGGCACACGAGCCTGGCAGGTGGCAGACCCCGTGAGGCCCGGAGGCCGTGCCAGGTGCCTCCATTGGCCAGTCACAGTGCTGCAAGGACCCGTTTGTCACCCCCGCCCTTTGCCGTCACATTTACATCCCAGGCTGCACACGCAGACACAGGTGGTAATGCGGCTGTTTCCGTCCTGGGCACACCTGGTCTGCAGGATCCAACTGCCTGTGCTGGGGTTCGTGATTCAACCGGGAGAGCCCTCGACAGTGCGATGTGTGTGTGTGTCCTTCTGTCACCGCAGCTTGCTGCCGCAACCGTGGTTGAGATTCCGTCCTCCCTTCACCTTCTCCCGGTCTTCCGACGTCGGTTCCTTGGAGCAGGATACCCAGTGTCTAGCCATGTGATTGTGCCTTTACTTCTGTCCTGGCAACATTGCCTTGTTTCCCACATGCATGGAAGTGGCAGCAAGGCCCAGGTTGTGCCTGGCTCAGGCGCGTCTTACTGTCTGCAGCCTCACGAGGAGCTCAGGCGGGAAGGGTAGCACACGCGGGTCAAGGGTCACCCACTCTGCTCTCAGGGCTCTTTCGAATCTCACCACGTAGCCCCAGGCATGAGTCCAGTCCCATCTGCCCAGCTTTTACTGAACAGAGTGTTTGCACACAGCAAGGCGCACCCGCCCGCACCCCTGGGACGTCCATCTGTAGCGCGCCCAAGAGAGGTAGGATTGTGACGCTCAACACAGTGGGCGCTTAATAAATGTCTGTTGAATTGAGATGCGTTAAATTCAACGGGTATTTATTGAGCACCCACTCTGTGCCAGACACTGAGCGGGGCGCTGAGGGGCACAGAGAAGAGGAGCAGCCCCTGTGCCAGAGGAGCGTTCGGGGAGCTGGGAGAGGCACAGTCGCTGACGGAGCGAGCCCACGAGCATCCTGCCACCACCTGCCCGCCTGGGCGCCCCGCAGGCTCACAGGGCCTGGTCACAGCCTCACCCCACCCACAACACCATCACCACATCTCACCTCGGCCCGAATTCATCACTCAGTCATTCATCCATCCCTCCACCAAATCCTTACTGAGCACCTGCTATGTGCTGGGCGGGGTGCCAGGCAGCCGAGAGCCAGGTGGACACGGCCCGTCCCCCTTCCCAGCAGGGAAGCCAGACGACTAAATGGCAGTGACACACCAGTGGGACACCCCTACCCCTTATCCCAGTGGTTCTCGGCAAGCACTGCTACCCTCTCCAGAGAGGGTTTCATGTTGAAATATCTATTTTATTATAGATGACTTCTATTTTCCGTTTATATTACACATAGGGCATTGTCTGGACTGTGTGTAAAGTAGTTTATGTTATAGACAAACTTGATTTCTGCACAGAAAGGGGTGGTGTTGGTTTTTGTTATAAGAAGAAGGCCTTGAGCCTTCCAGGATGGGGCTCACTGCCCCAGGGGAGGGACACGGTGGTATGGACCGTAACCCTGCGTGAACCCAGTGGACAGGTCTGCTGGCACTTGGGGTCCCACATTCTTGCCCTTGAGGTCCTGTCTCCTCTTTCGAGGTCCCCCCACATCCCACCCCCAGGGGTCAGAGGTGTGTTAGCATAACACAAACCCCTGGCCAGCTGGACACAGTGCCCAGAGGACTTAGTGGTCCCTAGAAAGGACCCTCCTTCCAAAGGGAGCAAGACCCTCTCCTCAAATCCCAGCACATGAGATGAACGTGGGGAGGTGGAAGGGTGGCAGCTGAGAGCGGTTGGGTCAGCTTGGAGAGGGGGAGAAAAGCTCTCAATCGGCACCCGAGGCAACACAGGGCTGCTTCGCCCCCAAACCTGCCTGTGGCTTTGGCACGTCATGTCACCTTCTGTATGTCCCCTCCCCTGTGAGGACCCCTCGTGGAGTCCCGTGTCTGATGGGACACGTTTGTCTTTGTTTGTCCCACCCTGCCCAGGCCAGGGCCTGGTCTCGGCACCCATCCAGAGGTCGGCTTAGGAGACAGACCTCTGTCTTGGGGTTTCTTTTCCCACTGGCAGTAGGGAAGGAGTCGGGGCCTGGCTCAGAAATGGCCTTTTTCTTTTCCCCTTTTATTTCTCTGTGCTTCCAAGGTGGGAAAAAAATCATTCTCACATTTCTTAGTCCGTGGTGGAAAAGGAGAGACTCCCTGATTTGTTGTCACTGTCGTGACGGTATCTGATGGGACCGGCAAGCGTCCAGCTAGGGGCACCGTTTCCTCACTTACAACAGACAAGCCAAGGCCCAGAGAGGGGTGAGCTGTCCGGTCAGCGGCAGAGGCAGACGGCCCCCACGCACGAGGGGTCCGCGTCACAATTCTTTGACTTCGCGATGGTGCGGACGTGGTAGGCATTCGGTAGGAAGCGTAGCCGTGCTGCCAGTACCGCATGTATGTCTGCTTCTCGCCTTCAGCAGAGCATTCAGTAAATTACACAGATGTTCTGCACATTTTATAAAATAGGCTTAGCTTGTGTCCGACGGTTTTGCCCAGCTGTGGGCTCACGTAAGTGCTCGGCGCACATTTCAGGTGGGCTGGGCCAAGCTAGGCGACGCTGTGATAGTCGATAGCTTAGGTGTATTAAATGCATTTTCAACTTACAAGGGGTTTACGGGATGTAACTGCATGGTACGTCGAGGAGCATCTGTATTTCACGAGCTCTTGCTGTGTTCTGGAACTATCCTAGGTCCAGGGGATAGAGGCCAAAGCAGATACAATTCCCTGTCCTGTGAAGCTGACATTCCAGTGGGGGTTGGGAGACAGAGGCGGATTTGAGCTATGTTGGTGCCGTGCAGTGGGGGGCGTGGTTTACATACAGTGAATAGTGGGGGGGATGCATCTGGCAAGGCTTGAAGGGGGTGTAGTTGTGAACAGTGCCGATATTTGGGGGACAGGCACTATCCCCGGGGGAGGGGGTGGTCACGGTGGTGGGTTGGAGGAACAGTGAGGGGCCCATGTGGCAGGTCACATAGCACCTTGTCGGCCCTTGGGAGGCCTCTGGCCTGGCCTGACCATTTGAGAGGCCTCTCATTGATTGTCACTGAGGGCTGAAAGGGGTTCCAGCGCACTTCCTTCCTCGGACGGGGACACTGAGTTTCTGAGAGGGGAGCTACAAAGTCACCTAGACATGTACCGTGAGCTGGTGGAGAT